GGGGGGGGGAGGTGTTGTTGTTCTTGCTTTCTCTTCTCTAACCTGCTTCAAGTGAGCAGTCACTTCCTATCCTCTTTGGGGTCATGACAAATATGAAGTTACCTGGATAACGTTGACTAAAACCTAATTACAGCAAATGAGGCATGAAACCTATTATCAAAAAACATGATGTCTGAAGTACATGCTGCCATTTCATTTTCCCAGCAGAGAACTCCTGAACGCCCAACTTGACTGCAAGGCATCGTGGGGAGGCTGGAAACGTGAAATTAGTGGTTCCTCCTGGGGCATGGCAATAGTATGCTTGTGGAGCCACAACTTATGCCTTTGGGAGAGGGCAGAATAAAATGCTTGTGTGAGTATCTGATTCATTGCCTTGTTTTTTTTGAAAGAGAAAGCTCTAAAGCACAACAAATATATTTTGCCTTTGACCTTGGCACAGTGGTTCATAACAAAGACCCTATTGCATGCTGGTGGAAAAACAGCTATCAATGCAGAAAAATACCTAAATAGCACCTGTGAAAAGAAAGTCACAAACAACTTAACTTCCTAAGTAGGTCTTGTGGGAGCTTTGTGTGGAGAAGGAAAGCATGAATAAGGGACTTGGAATTTACTGCAGAAGGTTCACAGGGTAAATACTTTAGACATAACACAGACAACCATTTACAGGTGATCCAGGAATCATGCAATGTCACTTCAGCACCAAAGGGAATAATCTCAAGAGTTGACTGTTCTGTAAGGCAGCCTCAAGAAGGTCGCATGCTCAGCTCGGTAATTAGGTGGAACTTGACATAGCCCCTGAACATGTGTTGTTTGTATTCAGCACAACAGAGGAGAGACCTGGGAGAAAGCAGCACTTCCCTGTCCCTCTTCCTGGGGCAACTGCACATCATAGCTCTGTACACTACACTGTAGTGTACAGTGTAGTGTATCTTACACCTTCCCCAGATTTTGACATGTTCCTGAGATAGCTGTCATATAGATATGTTGAGGACCACTGACACAGAGCTGTTAGGCAAACTTCCTGCTGTCTAAGGATTTCTTGGTTCTAAGGGATCTATTTCACTGTCCTACCAGCTGCCTAGCCCTGCTGATGGGAGCTTTGAATCCAGCCCGCTACTTATTTATTCTCAGATGCAGCTACTTTCTTATTCCACCACTGCGGAAAACTTATTCCACAGTTATCCTGTTCATGCTTGTAAATTACTCTGATTCTTGCTGGTGCTTTAAGGGAAATAAACTGTAGACTGGGGTCGGGAAGACACTTGTGCCTGTGTGCCACACTGTAGTTAGGCCCACTAACTACAGTACTACTGTAGTTAGGATACTAAAGGTTTCTTCCACCTTTCTGTGGCTCAGTGGAGACAGCACACCAAACATAACAAACTAGTAGTCTGATGTGGTATGAGAAATCCCCCATTCACATAGGATGCTCCCATTAGACCAGTCACACTCCTGACAGCTATTACCTTGCTCCAATTTACTGACCACTGATTCCAAGAGAACTATATACAGTGCACAGCAAACAGCTTTATTCCAGGATCCAGCCTTTATCCCTTCCATCCCCTTTAGAGCAGCAGGGAACGAACAAGGCTGCAAAACAACCACAGACAATCTCAAGAAGGGGAAAATTAAAAGACACACACAGATATAAGCCTTGACAGGTGGAAACATTTGCTGTCGGTGGGAGATACTGAGGTGCCAAGTCAGTGCCACGTACACCACACGCCAGGGCAAAGGGAGACAAAATACAGGAGACAAACTACAGAGACTTCACAACAGAAGAGACTTCCAACTTACAGACTGTGATCTATATGACTCTACATCGAGGCATTTTATCTGGGAGTCAGCTATACCTAGGATTAACTTCTTGTTCCACGGCTTGACCTGTCACCCAGAGTACTAGAGACAGGCACTTCAGAAACATCTATGTAGGAAACACATTAGAAAGACAAACATATTTAACATAAGCACTGTGCAATGCATAATGTTGCTCACAGTACAATTTCAGCCTGTTTTCAGCAAAACAGAACCCTACCAACTAAATAAAGATTGTATTTTCATCAAGGTTGGACAGTACCAATTACGTTCTGTTGTCACTGCTCCAATAAGAGTCACCTCTATGTATAGCCTTCTTTTGCTAGCATGTCAGTAGAAGAGACTTCAGCATACAGTTTTCTTTGGCAGAAAACATTAGTCATGGCTTCCTACTTAAATATCTATCACTTGTATCATTTCCTGGGAACAGGATAGTGCAGAATTCTGGAAGAGGGATTGCCTGTGAGCTGTTTAAAGCCACCTCTGCTCAAGATGTAGAGAGTATAAGAAAAAGATGGCATAAGGAATCCACCTAAACTTCACCTTCTTGATTTCTCCTGTGTTGCATCTGCAGGATTCCCAAGTCTGACTCTGTTTTAGCGAAGGTAAAAAATAATTTCAGTACTTCCATACACATCTACTCACACTCTCAGAAGTAGAAAGTAAATAAAACATTCAATAATGCCATGAGGCTTTGTGGTAATCACAGAAGACAACAGAATTAGTTTTAAACTACCAACACTTCATTCTTCTTAAACCGATAAAGATGGCTTTAGTTCGGGAAGCAGCAGAGAATGATTTCCACTGGTGTAATGATACACCACAAGGAGGCTGCAAGCTGAAGAAGGTTTCAGTGACCCCTCTGAGCTACATAACAGAGTAAGATTAGACTGAATCCTTACAGAGTAAGATGAACTAAATGGTAAACACATGTACCTTTCAGCTTCCTGGAGAGACCTGTTCTGATGGAGAATCATTTTTACCTCAAAGTTTGTGAGTGGAAAAGGAGACCTTAGAAAAAGCTGCCCTCCTGCTCACAGTAAGTGTGCCCTCTGTATTCTGCATTCATCCACTGGTTCCTGTAGGGCTCCTATTCCCACTGAAAACAAATGCAATTCTCTTGACTAGACTCAAGAGAAACTCAGAACACAGTATTAATTTGCTGAATCAGATTCAGCATACTATACAAACATTTCCAATGAAGTATTATTAAAAGACAGAGTTCATTAGCAAAATCCTTGGTCTCTGTGCCTCTCTTCCTCCCACTTCCTGCAGTAAGCTTCTGCAATAGCATATCTCCATGTGAGATTATACAATTTACCTGGTCTGCAAATGGCAATAAGCTGCACCTAAGCTATCCATAAACCTGCAATTCCATCCAGTGGTGTAAAAATGAACAAGTAACTGCCACACTGTCTTTCATCAGTAACGCTACATCTCTGGATGATATGGAACTACCAATGCTGGAAAAACTTAAAGCAATAAAGAGACTTCACTTTTATCCATAATGGACACATTCGAAACAATACAGAAGTTTTACCAGGGTAATTTTTTTTTAAATTTGCTTTAAAAATATTTGGGATTAGAGAGCTTCTTCTTATTATTTTAGTATAGTTTTAATACTACACAACGCAGAAAAAGGGAGTGAATGCCCGCTAATACAAAGACAACCAAAGAAAATATAACAGAAAGCTACAAAGATCATGGGAATTGCTTTCTGAGCCAGCGTAGCCAGGTAGCTTTTTTTTTGTTTTTTTTTCTTCCTCCTTCCAGTGTCTGGAGCTAGTTAGGGTTAAATGTTTTCCTTCCCATAGAAGACGCTATTTTCATTCAAAGGCTCCTCTAGTGCTAGTTCCTGAGGGAGGGTTGATTTGTTTCTCAAAACTATCCGCCTGGCCAGGCTTCAGTGGCTATCTCTAATGACGCACCAATGTCTTTTTCAGGCAGCTATCCACAGCTTAGTTGCTGTTTAGAAAACACGCATTAATTGCTTCATTTATATATTCATATGTACAACTTAACACAGCTAACCCAAAGGAATGTCTCTGTTTTTTAGTCCTCGTTTTTCATTTTGCCTTTAAAACTATGAACAAGCTTGTAAAAATGGCTTCCAGCATGGGGAACAAGTGATGGTAATGACTTAAATATTCCTGAAGGGGGTATGGCTGGAAGTCCACTGTAAATTATGGGGGCATTTCTGCAACCAAAAGGCTTGCACTTTCATTAATGAAGCTGAGAGAGTCCTTTAATGACAGACCTATTGGGGAGCTTCAAATCATATCCCATCACTAAGTTTGTTTGTCCATTGGTCTCAGAATAACATCTGAGAGTATATGTCTGCTTCACCACACATCCAAGCTGAAGAGTCCCATACTGTGACATTTATCTAGGCCAAATTCCCCATATAGTCATACCGAAGCAATCTCATTTACATACATCCTATTAAAAGAACCAAGCTAAGGAAAGAATCCAAGATTTGTAAAAGCACGTCCTAAACAAGCAGTAGTATCTTGACATCTTCCTATGTATGTTTCAAAAAGCCACAAACCTGTGCTCTAAATATCTGCAGGACTCAATACATTGAGAAACAAGCAATGTCTAGAAAAATCGTTTCAGAATCAGGCCTACAGTTTCTGAATCTTGTTGGCAAACTCCTCTATGAATCTGCAATATTTGTTCCGTGCGCTGCAACTCTTAAAGAGCATCCTCCTTATAAGAGGTCCTCACTATGGATGATCTGAGGTGGACAGAACATCCACCTGATACCCCACTGAGCAGAAGAATGTTCCCTGCTGACAGATTTTTTCAGGGCAGTACCATCCCCATGCTCTAGTAATCAGTTTGGAAGAAAAACTGAAATTGGTAGAAAAACATAAGCCAGGTTCCTTCCTTTCATCTGTTCTACCACATAGATAGCTGTAGGGCAAGGAGTCACTGCTTTAGAAGTTTCTTCAGGATTCAGTTGTCTCTGCATTCCCAGTAACTCTCAATACACTCCAGTTCCCAACATGCAGATCTTAGCCACGAGGAGAGCCATTTCTAAACCCAAAACGCATCCCTTAACTCCCTACAGGAGAACCCTCTGAATGCTCCTATCACTGACCTGTGTGCCCGGAGGTCTGTTATCTCTTCCTCCAGATCCAGCAGGAGTGCTGCCTGCGCCATCAGTTTTTTGCTGCAGGGCAAGGATTTGAGATGCAGGATGAGCAAACCAAGGCAAAACTTGCTTCCCATCTCCTCCAGCTCCTGAGTTCCCAGCTGCAGGCCCTGATGGAGAAAGGCAGAAAGTTACAATGCTGAGTTTGAAATTCACACATGCATGGAGAGAGACGAGTTAGTTTTACAGAAGACAGACAACTCTTGCCAATGTTCTTATTAATGTTCTTCCATTCTGAATGAGGGGTTCATTCACACTTGCTACATATGGAAATTTCCCCTCAGAGTCATTCATAAATTAACTGACAGCTCTTTGTCTACAGAAACTATTCTAAGAGAGAGCTATTCTATTTTAAAAATGGGGAAATAGAGAAGAAGTGCCTTGACTACATCTGCAGAAGGCATTTTAAGAATTAGGATCAGACCCCAGCAGGATCAGACTGTAAATCCAGCTTTACAAATCATCAGGACTCATTTCTTCTTTTTCTATTTAGAGGAGTCATCTCCCTAAGCAACAGGGAACAAAATAGGCTCTATGATTGTAAACACTGGGCAGTGGCAGAGATGAAAAGGGAAAAGAGGAGAAAGATCTTTAACAAGTTATGAATTGTTTTTTAAGAAAATCAATAACAAAGTAATTGCAAAATAACAAACGCCTCTGAGGAATTTCACAGTCTATTAAAAGCTTGCGTCTCTCTAGCAGAGACAGGCAGAAACAGAGGTGTACAAAATAGGATTTGAATTTTCAGCATCATCTTTGAAGGGACTCCTCCAAACTTTGGATCCTCACTGGAGGAGCCTCAATTATGAATTCTCTGTATTTGCTTTTTCATAGATTTGAGGGGGGGGGGGTGTGGTGGGAAAACAACTAGCAAAGCAGGAACAACAAAGGCCTGCACAGAAGTCACTCAGTGTAATCACTAGTAGTTTCACACAAGCAGTGAGTTGGCCAGAGACTGACAAAGCCCAAAGAGGTATTAAAAAAACAAACAAACACAAACAACAAAAAAAACCCACCACCGCACACCCACACACTAAAAAACTGTAAAATCCCTCATCTTTGGCATTTAGCGACCACGTCACGTGTACTCTTTAAACGCTCTCTCATCAGCAGGAGAATCAATTGGTGAACAATCGCTGCCTCTACCAATATCAACCTAATGCACTTTGTCAGCACAAAACTCTGCAGGCAACCTTTGACAAGAGCTCCCAGCTCCAAGACTGTTTCCTTAACAACCGTCAGAAGTCCGCACTCACTATCCTGGGAACAGCCATATGCAAGGTGTGTGCTCCGTGCCAGCGTGGCCTGTACTTCAGTGCTCAAGCCTTTACTACGGTCCCCCCCACCCCGTTCTCTAGACGGTCTCTTAAATGTTATTTTAATCAAAATACTCAAATGTCTGACACCGTTTCTTCTCCCATCCTATTCACCTTCACTGCAAGCTTTGCCAGGCAAGATTCAAGTACAATGAAGTATAGCAACAATTAATAGTTTTAAGAAAACAGAGGGAAAAGTTTATGGGAATCATGGGTCATCAATGCAAAAAAAAAAAAAAAAGTACTTAGCAGTCCTGCATAGATTCATAATGTTTTGTTACTTTACTTTAACATACTTAAGGTTTTTCGTGCAGCTGAGTTACAATGGGCAGGCAGAAGTGGTGACATCTCTGAGCAAAAATATGTCATTTCTACAGCAAAAGAGTATCTTCTCAGGGGCCAAAAATACAGGGAACATCTTGAGGCTTTCCCTGGGGTGTATCTCAGGGCCCTGCTTCCAAGCTCAAGGCAACACACTAAATACCTATCAATTCGGGAGGTGCCGAGTAGTGACTGCACTAAAACTCAGCCTGTGGCTTTATGATTCCCTGGGGCTTTATTCAGGATATGAAGAAGCCTTAGGAAACTATGAGTAGAGAAATAATAATAATAAAACTATAATATACGTGAGAAGCCTCAGACAGTAATTGCTCATGCACTCAAGTTAGCTGTTGTGTGATAGACCCATATTGCTTTGATACCAGACAGCTCAGGAGTAACAGCTGAAAACCTCAGTTACAGGATTACTTGTTAACACACTTTATTCACTTCAAACACTGACAGACTTTTATTTTTTAAACCTGGTTAACTCAGATAATTCTCTTCCTCTCCTTCCTCCCTCCACTGCTTTCAGGGTAGAGCTGAAGGTGTGCAGTTTGACTCCCATTAGATTTGACGCTGTTAACAGAGCAGACAGATCAAACTATGTTCTTGATGGCATGTGCCTGCAACGCAAGGAGCTGATGCAGTGGCTGGCACCCAGTTCCACTTGCATTGCTAAAAGGCAAGCTTGGTCTCTGGGCGTTTCTCTTCTATCTGTGCAACACAAACACACATACAAGGATAGCATGTGGGAGATGCAAGACAAAAGAAAAGATCAGGTAGTAGAGGCAGTGCACTTTTCGTTTGGTTAACAAGACGGTAGGAAAGACCCTTCCCTTGCAGTGAAGCTCTGCTGCTTCTACATATAGTGACAGTACGGGGTCTGGGTGCCATAGCCTTACAGGAGTAAGCTGCTCTGCCCTTACAGGCAGTAAGACTAATCAATCCTGATTAGCTCAGGCTCAGAGACACACTAACAAAGCTATCCAACTTTGAGAATCAGCTCTTATCTCCACACAAGTCTGCTCTCTGTTACATGAAAGTACCAGTGTAGATCAGCATCAGCTTGATGCATCATGCTCCACTGGGCTGTACAAGTATGTCCATTGGTCCCATGGGCACTTTCAGGCAGTCTTCTGCAGTATCTTGATGTGAGATAACAGATGAACTGTTTCCTGGCTTTCATAGAGAAAACTTAACAACTTTTGTTAATCCCTTTTCACTACTTCAGCTAGAACAGACAGCATGGGAGGAGGTGATACCTAATCCAGACCAAATTTTGGGTACTTTCACTTTTTATACCAAGAAACTAATTCCAGAGGCAGGTGACATAACCAACAGATGAACGAAATAAACACTTAAGTCTGTTAACTCTTGGTCTAGTTCGACCAGTACATTTCTTGCTTTTTCTGTCCTGTCACCATAACAGGAAACTGAGGAGCAGGAAAAAAAAATTCCTTGACCTATTATTTGGCCAGGACATCAGCAATAGTAATATTACTAACTAAAACTGGTCAAGTCATACCAGGGAGAGAGTCATTCATATTCAGCACTGGCACATCAAATAAATAACCATAACTAAATGTTTCCAGTGTCTCTCAAATTGCCCTCAAAATGCTTCATAGGATAAGGGACCAAAGCAATGGGAAAACTTCAATATTCATTACTCATATGCTTTAAGAACACCCACAGCTAAAGGCAGCAGTAGTTCAACAACACACAGATATTGCTGAAGAAAGTGGAAGGACTTAGAAGCTAAACTAGGAATTTAACTAGGTAACCAGTTAAACTAGAGCTGCAAACTTAAGAGTCAGAAGATATTGATGAACACAAAGTAAACAAAAGATTACAGAGACAGCAATTGTTTCCTGGATTCAGAGAAAAGGGATCCCAGGCACACAGCAAGGCCACCACAATGTTTTCTCACACTTTTCCTCACTTGTTCAACCTTGGGGCAACAGCTTTTCCCAGCAAACTCTCTTCCAGTCAGTACACACACACACACACGTACAGATTATTCTCTTTGCATCTCAGTAGTTTTACCCATGTACACTGGTTATATGTACCAAGGCTAATTATAAATAAAGTGACAGTCTGGTTTCCCACTAATTCATTCCATCAGCAAGTTCTCAGTCAGAATACTAACAGAAACCATTTGGAGGCTGTAGAGAATAAAACCAGGGAGTTGCATGAAACATTTGGTGCCTGGTGTCAGCAGCCTGAAGTTTAGCTTGAACCAGACCTGAAAGATACCGTTCTTTCATCCCCTGTGAATGAAAACGTGCAAGCACATGCTGGGGAACTGGCTATTTAGACAACTAAGATAATAGAGAATGAGCCAGGTTTTCTCATGCCCCAGAGTTCCCTAGGCAGCAGGATATGGCATGCAAAACATGGAATGGATGGAATGGGCATTTGGGCCAAAGATTTTCAAGAGGATTAAGGGAGTAGAAAAGGCAGAGGATGCTAGAAAAAAAAAAACAGGCTAGCAAGAATTTCTAGAAAGAAAGATGAGAGAGGCTGGAGTTAGAGACAGAAGATAAAAGGGCGGGAGAGATAAAAGGATGAGGAAGAGGGAGGGGTTGCTAAGGTCAATGGATGTTGTAGAGGAATGAAAACAAGAGGAAAGTTAATGGAATACTCCATACCATTCTCACCCTCGCAGAGGTGCGTCTCACTCCAAATGTCTGTCCTCATTACATCTGGTACTTTTGGCCACACGGCAAGGAAGCAAGGCCAGCTTGCCTTGCATTCTCTGGCAAAACTTTTGCTCAACTCGGCTAGTGTTTCACCTGAGCTGGGGCTGAGCAGATGCTTTAGGTACAGAAACAAATAGCCTATTTTTAAAAATCTTTTAAATAGACTCTTT